CGAGGCTGCAGTGCGCGAGACAGAGCAGAACTGTTGGCTGTGTGAATTGCATATTTGCATATTTTTTGAGGAGCAGTGTTTATCGTTTGAATATTGTTGTTAAAAATGGTTTAGCGCTGTGTAAGATGCCTTGGTGCTGTTGTGATTATTTGAGTGACCACATTGGCTGTTATGTTTAAATGCTTTAAGCAGTCAAAACCAAACAGACCAGTGCTTTATTGTATGTCTGTGGCAAAAGGTTGGTACATTTTTCCATGGCATTGCTGTAAAGTATTACAAAACTACAAAATGTTAAACTATAGGATTAAAGTATTATGCTTAGAAATATAAAGCCAGTAGCTTTGACAGATTCAGTATAGTACAAGTCAAAAAAGTGGCTCAATTTTCATATTTTGTAATTTTTCTACATCATTTAAACAGGCTGGCTTTCCTGTCAAAATTTCCTGACGAATGGACCTAAACTGATCTCTGACTCTTGCTTTGTTAACAAAACCACATATCATATATTATGATGTCTCTGTGAATAGTGGCAAAGCTTTGAAGGTAAGGACCAACAGGTTTGGTAGCGTTTGCTTATTCTACATTATTATATGTTGCAAATGAGACGACCGTTACTGCTGTGAATGACGGATCATAAAATGGTTTGTGGGAATCGAATCCTGAGATTTCAAGCTTTCCAACAGTATGTTGCATCACTGTATTGCTGATACATAAAATAATGTTTTAAAAAAGGGAACAAGCGTTTTAACAAATCGGTACAGTGATGCAGTAAAGAAAAATTCCACCAATGTTTAAAAATGCATCCGTTGGTAAATATTTAAGATGTAAACAAAGTCATTCAGAGTGGATTGATGTGATATGTTACGTTCTTGAGAAACTTTCTGGGCCAGAATAGTTCACAGTGGTGGTGATAGGAACCAGACGTCTGAAGCGTTTAATGCCTTTGAAATTTACTTCACACACTGTTATTGCATGAAATGCTGCTTGATCCCTGAGACTGTTTTCTTCTGACAGTTTTAAGATAAGGTTTTGCTTTTGTTTTAAAACTTTTTTAACACATCCTTGGCAGAGGGGTACATGCAGGGCATTGTAAGGTAAAGTAGATTTTCCACTATTTTATCATTATCAACATTACATATAAAAACTCAGAAGACACGTGCAGGTTCACTGATGGTTGTAGATAGTGAATAAAATGGCTATATTTGTTTTGTAGACAGTGCGACTCCTGGTTCCTATCAGTACCACTGCAAAGAAATCCTAGCATGCTTCTCTGCAATGTACCATTTCACATTAAACCACTCTGAATGACTTTGTTTACATCTCGGCTATTGAATTGTGCAGAAATGTTGGATTTTGGACACCAACTTCCTCTGTATGTTGAACTACAAGGGAGAAATTAATTGAATTGAAATACATCATGCTTTTATTATTATTACCAATAATTCTGGGTTCTATGTTGACCCACATAGTGTATATTCATTTATACGTACACAGTGATTGCATCCGTTGCATATGAACAGACATTATGACCTCAATGTCTTTAATTACATGCATCAAATATCATACTCTCCTAAATTATTGTGAGCCTTTCATTAAATGTCCATTAATACACAGTATCATGCAAAATTCTGTGATCCTTCATCTATTTAATTTCCAATTACAACTTTCATGAAGTACAAGATATTTTTCAGGAGACATTTCTGATGAGTTTAGATGTAAGAGGAAGGGAATGGAAGGGAAAAGTCAAGGGAAAATAAGTAAACAAAATAAACAATAATTTTCAAAACTGGAGTTTGAAAAATGAATAAAAGTTAAAGAAAATGGGGCTCCAACCAACTGTGCAAAACCTTTTAGACCACCAAAACCAATGAACTAATGAAATCATTGAAGGGTGGTCTCTGACTTTAACACAGTACTATAGCTGGTCTGTGCTGTATTCTCCTTCTGCAGGCTGTAAACCGGAACAGGACGTTTTACAGCGTGCTAGTATGAGAGTTATGTAAAAGCTCTGTCCTCCAGGCCCTTTTCCTCACCCTCCTCCTCTACCCCTCTGCTTCAGAGCACACATACACCAGCTCGTATTAAGATAATGAGAGCACACAGCACCTCTGTCTTATGGCCTGAGGGTATATCTGCCGTTGCTATGAGCACAGAACTTCTCTGTGTGTTTATTTGCCCTGGGCTCTGAAACAGGCCTGCGTGTGGGGAAACTCTGCAATAAAAGGACGGGCCGAAATGGCATCAAAAGGCCACGATTATTTGATTTCAAAGTATTAAGAATCAAATTATTGCCCTCTCTACAGCTGCCTGGGGTCCCAAGTGGAGAAAGTGAATGGGTTGGTAATAACTGCAAACAGCTGGCGTGGCTCTGTGTGTGTGCTCGTTTTCAGCACCTCTCCGTGAAGTGGAAGCATGAGACAGGAGTTTGACTGAATACATTGTAGATTTTTATTGATTGAAGCATTTCCTGAACATAATTCACCTTCTAAAAGCTTGTCGCCCCTTGCTGTAGCAGAAATTAGTGCCAATTACAAATGCATGTAATTTTAAACAAATTATTTCTCATGCACTGATACAAGAAATTCTGCAAAATTGCAGATTTTGAACATTCAGTTAGTTCCAGTTTTGTGCATGTAGTCTTGCTTTGCATAAAGAAAAATGTACTTTACATTTTTATTGTGTTTTTATTATTTACATCCAAAGTTTTGTTTGTTTTTTGTACAAAAAAATATTTTAACACTCCAAAAAGTTTGTCGTTGTAGGCTGGGGAATTGGAAATTGTTGGTACTATTTTATGAATGTTGATAAAACTTTAGTTTGTTGATACATAAAATTAACATTTTTTTAATAACACACTTAGACATTGATATAAATAGATATATAGATTTAGTCTCATTTGGCAGATTTCCCTCACATGCATGTTGCAACAAACAGTGCTGAGAAAAAGTATTTGTTTCCTCCTGATTCCTTCTTTTCATTTATCGATGTCCATGAGAGAGTTGCAAGGTGAAAACCCCTACTAACCAGAAAACATGAAGGCTCATCTCACATTCCCCAAAAATCATCTTGTCACCCAAGTCTTTTGGAATAACGTTCTGTTGAAAGTGAAACTTTTTCTAAGACAGGGAGAACAACAGTCTCTAGAGTTTACTCAGAAACTCACTCAAACTGACAGAAAGGCTACGGTAACTCAGATAACTACTCTGTACAATTACGGTGAGAAGAAAACCTCAGAAACATCTCAGAATGCACAACACAGTGAACCTTGAAGTGGATGGGCTACAACAGCAGAAGACCATGTCAGGTTCCACTTCTGTCAGCCAAAACTGCACAGTTGAAGACTGGAAAAGCCATGTGGCCCTCTTCATGACCACAATTTACCATCTTCTGGCTGCTTCCAGCGTGATAGCATGATTCAGTGGTCTTTCCAGCTACTGGATCTGAATCCAATAGAACACCTTTGGGATGTGGTAGAACAGAAGATTCACAGCATGGAGGTGCACCTGAAAAATGTGCAGGAATTACATGATGCAGTTGCATCAATATGGACCAGAATTTCAAAAGAATGTTTCCAATATCTTGTGAAAAATAGAAGCTTTTTTGAGAGCAAAGAGAGGCCCTACCCACTATTAGTATTGTGTTCCTAATAAAGTGCATGGTGAATATATGCATAAATAGAGGAAATTAGGAAGGGGAAAATACTTTTTCACAGCACTGTATAGTTTTAGTAAGGAGACAGGAGCTTTTTTAAAAGGATTCTGCTACTTTTCAGCTCTTACAGAGAGAGATGTGTTCAAAAAGCTGCACCCTCCCTCAATGGAAGGTGCTCAAACAGCCCTATATGGTAGACAAACATGATTGTTTATGCAATAGTTTAGATGAAAATATGGATATATATTTTTTCCTTATCAGCAGCTTATGGGGAGCACAACGTTATGACAGCATTATTTTGCAGGAAATTATGTCTTTACGTAAATTATATTCATTGCTAATTTTTGCAATTTGTTTCCAAATTGATAGAGACAAAGCACAAAACATTTACACATTTTAATTTTGTTGCTTACCGTTTTTGCAGAAAGTCGTTGGGAATGTAAAACATGTCAGAATGTGTGAGGGTTAACAGTGATTCAGCCACATTTCTGCTGTAAAACACATTACTTCTCTCAAGATGTCCACAAAGCAGAGAATGTGTTCTTATGTGAATCATTTAGCTCCAAATGCTTTTCACATTTACAGAATTTGAAACGCATGAATGAAAATTAGAGTAAATAGGCTGCCGTATGCAGAGTGCCCTTTCTCAGCTGGCTGCTTTGAACTTTGGACTTTTTAATGATTCTCATGCGGCACTAAATTGTCACTGGACTCTTAATTTAGACTTTCCAACAGAAAAGACGCAGCTAAAGTCAAGCTGGCTGCAAATAATCTAATTTCCCAAATCACCCAAATCAAAAGAAGAAAATTCATTTGATAAATACATAAGTCAGTCTTTCTCAGCTGCTTTGATGTGACGTGTTATACACATTTTGAACACTTTCCTGAACCGTATCCTCTCAACAGTGAACAGCTCTGGAAATTGGGCGTTCTGAGTCCACCTGGCAAGAACATTCTAGCCAGGGGTGTCACTAGTGGTTATGGATGGAAGTTTAAGCCTGTACACAGTATATTGTGAATTTGGAGACATGATGGCTCAGCTGAATAATAAAGAATGAATGAGAATAAGTCATGTACATGTATTTGGGAATTGAAAACTGGCCTAGTGACACCACTGATCCTAGTCTTTATGCTAATCTTGTGCATAAAAGTGATTTGCATAAAAATATACAAGTTACACTATCGCTCAAAAGTTCAATTTACTGTTTTCAATATGTCACACATTCGGCTAGTCAGCCAACGAACTACATTCCCCAGAATACACTGGGGAATCAGGAGACGGAGCTATTTCCTTCGCTGGCCAGTAATGACTCAGACTCCATTTCCCAGAATCTTCAGCCAGCTCACATGACTCCGCAGAGATCCTCATCATCCTATCACCGTTCAAGATCACCTGAATACTAATACTGTGCACCTGTGTATTTGTGTCACATGACTCAGATAGATCGTATTTTAGCCCGGGCTATAGCTAGAATCATTGCGAGGTATTGCTTTCCTTAGAGAAACTACTGAGCAGTCTTCCTGTTATCCATCGTGTGTATGACCTTCTGCTTTCCGTTTTCTCTGACTGTGTTTTTGGATTTGCCCCTGTGTACTTTTGCCTGGTTTATTGGATTTATGGTTTTGACCCATCGCCTGTTTTTTGGACTTCGCTCTGTTTTCCCCTGGTCTGTTATGTTAAGCCATTTCTCTACTACTGTTTATATTGGAACTGACCCATGCCTGTTTGCTGACTACGTTATACTTACAATTTATTATAATTTAAAGTTAATTCAGAGAGCATTCTTTATTATTTTATTTTAATTAACAGCCAATAAGAAATAGAAAAAAGGGTGAAAAAATTAATTAATTAACAGAAAAAGACCTCAACCTACAAAACTGCAATTTAAAATAATTAAATATAATGTAAATATTGTTCAGTATTTAGTTTATCCATACTTTGCCTTTATTACAGCTTTCATTCTTTTGAGGAGACTTGCTTTCAGCTGTTCAAAGAACTCTGCGGGGATATTTTACACATCTCCAAAGTTCAGTCTTAAAAGTTGGCTGCATTTTCTGCTTCTCACAATCCAAATAATCCCAAACACATTCAGTGATGTTGAGCTCTGGACTCTGGGGTGGTCAGACCATTGCTCTGAGAACACCAGCAGCTTCTTTGTTTGATTTGTAATTCTTCTTCTTTTTTGTCTTTTCTCAGTAACAGCTTCTTGACATCTACACATCCTGTCAGCCCCATAGCATTGAGATGGACAGAAACACCTGTGGATGTTTTCAGATCTGAAGCAAGAGTGGAGCTCGATTTTCTCTCAAAGATGAAAGCTTTAAGTACTTTTTGTCTGATGGTGGAGGTTTTGATGCTCCAGCCCTTGCAGAAAAGCCACATATATTTCACATGTGAAATGTGCAAACCACATGTTTAGAAGTAATCATATGTTTTTTCCTTTAATATGTGCAGTGTCCAAAAATCACAATTCAATTTCTGTAAGGGCAGGTCTTGCATAGTTGTTAGAAGTCCTGCTTTCTCTGTGTCTTTTAATAGTTTTTTTTTAACTCCTTTTTTGGGAAACTCCTACATTTTCTCCTAATTTGTTTCCTTTGACTTTTCCCTTCCTTATGCAAATAAATGAACTTATATATAATTTCCTCAGAAATATCTCCTAAAAAAGTAATAACTTGTTCTTAATGGCAGTTTTGACTGGAAATGAAATAAACGAAGGGTCTGACTTGTATCCTGTACTGTACCTTCTTGTGTCTGTCTTGCAGATTTTCAATCAACTTGGATAAAATAACAGCACTACTTACAATGTGAAGTGATTCCAAACACAACTGTAGCATAAAAAAATACAGATAAAATGGACTAACATGCAGTTAAGTGTAATGTGTCACTGTGTAATAACAGTGATGTGAAATTACTTAATGTTTCTAGACTTGTTGCATACTGTATAGCTTTAAGCTAACCAAAGCTGGGAAAAAAATGTTTAAAAAGATGTTTTAATGGGAAAAGGGATGTAAACAAACTAATCTGTTTTGAAATGTCAGAAATGTCTAACAGCAAAGGCCTGACCCCTCCTTCTAAAGGACAGTGTCTCAGAGTACCAGTAAACAACCCTGTGAATTATCAGTGGGTGAAATATCTCCGGACGCTACACAGTTTCTGCACTGTGTTGGAAATACTCACCATGAGCCAGACTTTGTGTTCATCGTGTGAACATTTGCTCAAAATTTACTGCTTTAACCTCCCAGGTCTGCATTTTTCCACCCATCTGTGTTTCAACAAAAATCATAACAGGTGTTGGAGGTTACATGGACTTATTAGGCGAAGAAAGAAAGTTTTATTTAAGCTGCACTGAGCAGCCATAACATTAAAACCACCTCCTTGTTTCTACACCCACTGTCTAGTTTACCAGCACTACTTATCATATAGGTGCACTTTGCAGTTCTACAATTACAGACTGTAGTCCATCTGTTTCTCACCAATGGTCAGGACCCCCACAGTGCTGCACAATTTGTGTTGGTCACCCTCTAGTCCTTCATCAGTGGTCACGGGATGCTGTTGGCTGGATATTTTTGGTTGGTGGACTATTCTCAGTCCAGCAGTGACACTGAGGTGTTTTAAAAACTCCAGCAGCACCACTGTGTCTGATCTACTCAGACCAGCACAACACACATTAACACACCAAACCCATATCAGTGTTACTGCAGTGCTGAGAATGATCCACCACCCAAATATTACCTGTTCTGTGGTGGGGCTGTGGGGGTCCTGAAGAACAGGGTAAAAGGGGGCTAACAAAGTAAGCAGAGAAACAGATGGACTACAGTCTGTAATTGTAGAACTGCAAAGTGGACCTATGATTTAAGTGGAGCTGTTGCTTTTGAAACATTAGTAATGGATTCTGGAAATTTCTGGTGTCTCACTATGAGGTTTTAACAAAAATAAAAAGGTACCCCCTGTTTGAAATATCCAGGGCCTGAGAAACAGTGGTGGGAATAAAGTAAGAAAGAAAAGAAGAGTGTCCTTCAGCTGAGTTGTGTGAGTCTTTGTGCAAGCTACTGTAAAAGTCCTTGGCCGCTTCCTGCATAAAGAAGGGTCTCAGTAATTAGGTTTCATTAGTCATGTGCCACTACAGTTAGGACAAATTTAAGCCTACACCAATTGAACATTCAGAATGTGAATGAACCTTTTTATGAACACGTTCAGTAATCTCACAGCGGCATCAACAACCTTAATAGGCTCACATTACATATCAGCTCCATTTTACTCAAGTGCCCTTGAAACACAGTTGCATAGGGCATGATGATAGAGTTCACACATTCCCAAAATAATTAGAATTAGACTTTTTCCCTAAAATGTTTTGAGACCACTAGTGAAAATGCTTCTACTTTGCATTCTTTTATAACTGAATGCTTTTTCTTCCATTTCAAATTATATTATCAGCGTAACAATTTGAGTGAAAAAGTAGAACTGTCGATATATGTTTCTCTTTTTGTTTTAATGACAGCATTCACATGCAAAAGCCTCTGATAAATAGATCATATCCACCTGAGAGTCGTCTGAAAATGTGCTTTAAAGGAAGGGATACGACTAAAAACAAAGTATGCAGAGAAATCAGACATTTTTCAGAATTCTGAAACTTTTTTGTTGATTACTTTTAGATTGAAATGAAAAGAATCCTAGAATTTCGATGTGGTCTCAGACTTTTGGACCCCTTGTATTTTGGAAGATTTACAGTCGTACACGAAGTGGTTGGTGTAGTGTAGTGGTTAACACCTCTGCCTTCCACGCTGCAGACTAGGGATTCAATCCCTTACCTGGGCAAGCACCCTACACTATACCAATAAGAGTCCTTGGGCAAGACTCCTAACACTACCTTCACCTACCTGCGTAAAATGATCAAACTGTAAGTCGCTCTGGATAAGAGTGTCTGCCAAATGCCATAAATGTACATGAAAGTTTGAACAACCCTAGTCAAATTACATGTTGCACTGTTTTCTAAGTGAAAGTTAACACATGCTCTACAGCAAACACACTTAAACATGGTAACTTAAGCAAAGTTTAATGCACAATTTCTATTTGTTTGCTGAGTTTAACATATTGGAAAAATAAAACATAAAATATATGTAACATCCTGTCTTTCCCTGCTCTTGTCTTTGTCTGTTTCTCCCCTTTTGTTTACCTTCTCTCATCTGTTTTTGTTTTCTTGCTCCTCCCTGGATCCAGCCCTTGTGTTATGCCTCTCTCCTGTGTTGTATCTGTAATTGTGTCCTGTAATCATTAGTCCCAGGTGTGTCTTGTTCTGTTGTGTGTATTTCTACGCTCTGCCTGCCTTGTCCTTGCTGTGTGTTGTGTGTGTCATTGTTTCATTTCTTTTCTGGAAAAGTTATTTGACTCTGTTTATCAACCAGTTTAGTTTCTTGGTTTGTTTATCATTCTTTATTGGTCTTTGGTTTTGTTTCTTGTTCGCCACCTCTAGCCTGGACTTTAAGAAAAGAAGCATGTACTTGCATCCTGCCCCCATGGTTACAATATAAAATGTGTCATAACTTTTGCACAGGCCATTTTATGTTTTCGTTTTTTCCCCAATGTGTTTAATTCAGCAGGCAAACAGTAATCATATACGTAGAGGGTGTGAAAGTAGGCCGCCCAAACTTTTGCATATGTATGTGTGTGTGCATGTGTATATATATATATATATACACATATATATACACACACATATATACATGTACATCTTTGTACGGTAATGCTTTAGAGTTTTGGTGGAAACACTGCTTTTTGGTACTGCACAAAAGTCTTAGGCAGCTGTGGGAGCTGTTTACAGTTCTTTATCTTGGCGAGAAGTGTGTTATGCCAGTAAAAACACTATATTTAAATAGAATAAATACAGACAAACATAAATACAGAAGTACAGTTTTTAAAAAGTTATTAATATCTTGGTCAATAGAATACAGAGGATTACAGGATTAGCCCCTGACGTCTTCCTGCACTCCAGTCATTGTGTGGGTTTGTTCAGTTCTATCAGCAGCATTGATTTACTTTAATGAAGGATTAATTAGCTGAAGCAGGTATTGGATGGTAACTGTAAATACTGGACTTCCAAGTTTGTAAATGGTTTAGCTGACACTCTCACACACATCAAATCACAATGCACTGTGTTTATTTGTTTATTTATTCTACTGTGAACATTTTTGTTGCTTTATTTTTTTTTAACAAATAAATGTTCACTGCTCAGATAAGTGGCTTTACATATCATTATCTAAGATTTGCACAGTACTGTATTTAAAAGGTTTAAGTACACTGAAAAAGATTAGCTGTGAATGACTTTATAAAGCTGCTATAAAGTACTAATATACAGTCAGTTGCTTTGACAGACCCAGTTGTCATGGCATCTAAAACTGGAGGAATTTAAGTGTGTTTTTCTGCAGTGAGTCTGAAATGTGCTTGTATTCACCACATGAAGAAAACACAACAGATCCCACCTCGTCACGTCTCCGTGCATGATTCATTACTGGAGGAAAATGACTGAACACTTGCCTGTGAAACTGCATCCCACTGTCTTATTGCTATTTGTCACTGGCAGGCAAGGCATGCAAGCCAGAGAATGCATGTGATTATGAGCATGAACAGACCTAAACAGACAAAACCAAGCAAAACATGAATCTCAGAGCTGTTTAAATAACAGAAGCATTGGATATGACAGCACTGTGTGCCTTTATGAAAAAGAGCTGTAGTAATCCTGCGGGAACTTCTACAGGATTCATATAGTAGAGCTTGAACTCACACTCAAGTAAGTTTGGTCATTTCTCACGTACAACTAAAAGTATCTCTTCAAAAAAACTACAGAGTCGTATGCAAAAAGTTTGAGCACCTCTGATCGAATGAGATGTTTCGTTGTTTTTCTAAGTTAAAATAGTTAACACATCGTCTGCAGAGAACATATGTCTGCACATTTCAAGACACAATTACTGTAGATATGTAGAATTTAGCTGTAGGTTTTGAAAACTTGCAGACCTCTCTGGTGGTCAGAAGAGTATTCAAAGAGAACTCAGTCAAAACTTGGTAAAGGATGTGTCTTATAAGGATCTAAGGCAATTATCTACCTTTGTAAGATCTTCATCATAATGTTTACTATGCATTTGAGACCTAAACATCAAGCCAAAACTTTTTGTGATGTTAATATATAAAGACATATGACGTGGTCCAAAAACTCCTAACCCAGTAATACTACTTCTTTCAGTTTGACAAAAGTTTTTATATTTAATGTTTCTTTGTTTTACAATATATTAACAGCAAATACATTTCAATTTCTAGTAGAAAATACACCAACATTTGCAGAAAAATGCCATATTTGGCCAAGTATGTTCCCTGTAGTGGATGTGTACATATCTTCACTTAGAAAATTGACAAACCATGTCATTTGACCAGAGGCGATCAAATTTTTACAAACGCCTGTAAATACTGAGTAACTTATAGATTTGCAATTGAACAACAAAGTACATCCAGCATGTCAGCAAATTGCTATATTCTTCTCTTTGTGGTTTAATACAGTATAAAATTGTAAAGAGTCAGAAGTGTGATTGATCGCGAAGCAGTACAGATGCTGCCACCAGTGTAACAAAAATGGATTAGTAACTGAATGTTAATGACTTAAATGTGAATAAAATGCAAAACTTTCCTCACAAATATTCTTAAAATACAAGTAAAAGTATAAATCCTTCAAAACTGTACTTGAGCACATATAACTAAGTACATGTAATTGGTTACCAGACACCTTTGCATGTTACTATGAAACAGTGCTAACATATGTTATATGGAGGTGAAAGTAGGGTCCACTTTTGGGGGGGGGTGGGCTTGGGGGTTCCAGACCTTCCATAAGAGCAAAAGGACCCTCCATGAGAAAGACAAAATTAAACTAAATTAAATGCCATTTCAGCATTAGATTGAAGAGCAGCAACATCTCGCTGTTAATATGCGATTATTTTTAGCATTATTGCAAGCAAACCTGAACATAGTCTCAATTTACAATGTTTTTGGAGCTCTCTGTATTATGAAGTGTTCTCTTTATTATTATTACAATGAATCAGAATAGTTCTGAAAAAGGTTTGGATCCATATAAACTGTGAAAGTTCATCAGTATATTTAAGATTTATTTAGAAATAAGTTAGCTACGCCTGTTGTTTACATTATGTAACAGATTTTATACTAAATTTACTGAAATTTATTTATGCCAGATTCATTACAGGTCACAATCAGACCCTTTACCCAACCCCCCCTCCCACCACAATGCCTGTTCTTTAATTAAAACCCTTGTTGAAAGTATTCCAGATTGTTATGTAATATGAGCTATATATGCTATATAACTCTATAGAATTTTTTGTCGGTGTCCAGCGAAGCAAAAGAGAGCATGTTTCACAGCAAATAATTTATTTCGATACTGAATATAGAAAAAAAAACAATAATACATCTTTTTAAGTACATATTCCTTTTTTCAGAAATATAGAACAGCCTGTTCTGTTTGTCAGGTAAAAGAAAATGCCATCATGCGGATTCTGAATTCTGGCAAAGATTGTTCATAGCATAAAATGTTCTTTATGTTGAAGTATCTTCAGTTTGACTGATACTCACATAATCACATTAGAATGTACAGAAGAATAACAGATCTGCATTAGCAAGCACAATACATCATTTGTCACCACATGAAGCATGATAGCTATACACTGTAGCAAGAAACATCAAGTTTTAGTCTTCATTCTCATCGGAATTGGGTGTGATTTCCAAACAATAAATTGTTGATATATAGTTGTGCTACCGCTCCCAAGAAACACAGGCACAGAATCTAACAGTCCAGTCTAAAAATATTAGCTGAACAAATGCAAAAGTTCTTGAATGTAACAAAACACTGAACATTACAATGCTAAGTGGATCAGCTGAAAATGATGTCTTTAACATTTAATGTTTTTTTAAACATCATTTTTTTGCAACATATAAATCAGCCACAGTTTATAATGGCACATTTTGGCAAATATAAAGCACTGGTTTGGTTTATAAAAAGATTATTCACAATACATCATTAATACATATTCGTAGTGTCTAAATGAAAGAAATTCTTTCAGGCCTATTCCAATTGTACATAGAAAGCTGAAACTGTCTGAGAAAAGGCAAAGCAGAATAACAGCATTTAATACACAGCCTATGTGGGCCTATAAAGCTTTAAAAAAATAGATGAAATGGACAACATGCCACAGTTTGTAATATCAGTGTTCTAGAATGACAAGCTACTCATTGTCACAGTTCATGGAACACTAATATATCGGAAACAGTTATATTATGACAGTTCATAACAGATGAATGTAGCATACACAGCTAACGTCGAGTTTGTGAAGTTGAATGAATTCATTCTGTGGTACATATTTCAATTCCATAGTAAACCCAACAGTCATTTTACGTTCCTAACTTTTGAAATGCGATTCTCAGAAGGGCCTGGCACGGCCCAGGCAAGCGACCATTGGCTTACATCTCCACCACAGTGGTCAGAGACCTGTGGTGACTTGCGTCAGTTCTGAGTTCATGTCAACACTGGCCTGGCAGCGAGAATCCAGTGATGACATCTCCAATGCTAGTCATACCTGCCGGTTGATTCGGTCCACCGTTGGACTAGAGTGGGCCTCGCGCTGGGGGTTGCGGGTCCGAGTGGAACGCATGGAGTTCTGCAGGTCCAGCACGGAGGGGCTGGGCACACAGAACTCGCGGAAACAGCGCTTGAAGTTTTCGTCCAGGAATGCGTAGAGCACGGGGTTGAGGCAGCTGTTGGTGTAGCCCAGCGCGATGCAGAAGTGCCAGGTGATGGTCTGCAAGAGGGAGTTTGGAATGGTGACCAGAGCCTTGATGATGACGAAGATGTGGATGGGGGTCCAGCAGACAATGAAGACAGCCACGACCACTAGGACCATGCGGGTGATGCGCCGCAGGTTGCGGTCCTTCTCCTTGGAACCCGAGAGCATGCGGACGCTCCTCAGACGAAGGATCATCAGGCCGTAACACACGGTGATGATGAGCACAGGCATGATGAAGGCGAAGATGAAGACGCAGATCTTCAAAAGGTTCTCCCAATACCAGGATGGGTGGGGGAACACCAGGGTGCAGTCAATGATGCCTGATGCTGCAGAAAGAAAAATGCAAGAAAAAAATAGAACTTATTGAACAGCTTTTCTCAAGTTATCTTAACTTGAGGTTACTAAAGTTCACCCGACTTTAACTTCATAATTTAGTCGAAAGATCTCACACTTTCTATGAGACAATTTTTTCCTCTTGGGCTACCAAATATGGAGGCTCTGGCATCATTGGGGTTTAGATTCACTCTCCTGGTGCTGGGGTTAACACTTTGCACCATGTTACCACATGTTACTTTTTAACATGTATGTACACAGAAATATGAGTAAACCAATGGGCCCCTGAGTGGTGCAACCATCTAAGTGTTCAATCCAACATTAGGAGATTGTGAGCTCCAGCCCCAGCACTGCCACAGCCATCCATAACTGGGAGCCCAAAAGGAGAAAACACCAGGTGGGATCCCAGCTGGAGTTCAGCTGACTTTCATTTTTTACAGTGAAAGGTTAAGGAACTTTCACATTATACTCTTAAAAATAAAGGTACCAAAACATTTATTTCAAGTGATGCCATAAAAGAATTGCTATTGGTGACCTAAAGAACCTGTCAATGGATGGTCCGAGATGTGTGAGTGTTTGGAACCTTTAAAGTTTAAAGAACTTCTGCATAATATAAAAGTTGTACACCAATTAAAAATGCCATAAAATGGAAAACTGTATTTATATTGGCATAGTTGAATAAGGAGAGCTTAGTACATGAAAATGACAGTGAACCTCAAATACATCTCCTCCTTCAAATACAAATCTTGCATTTGCGAAAGAGGGCAGCAAAACAGGCCAATTCCAAAATCCTAAACTCTTACATAACAGTTTTGACTCATTAAAACTTACACCCCCCAAAATTCACATACACCAGCCCACGTTCTAGCCCAGCAGGCATTGTGATATTGTGACAACAAGAGAGCAGCAGCAATGAAAATGGCAAACTATGTGCAGAAATGTACCATACTGGGCAGAGAAGGGGATGACGGCTCTTTTTATACCCTTCCCAAGGAACCAAACTGTCAACGAGCATGGCTAACGTTCATCTATAAACAAGGCTGAAGTTGGCTTCCTGTTGGCCAGCTTTATAATCAAATGTTGTTTTCTGCCTTAAATGCTACAGCTTGTACACGTGCCAGAATGTACAGTGCCAAAATGCAACTACAGCACCGTTTAAGATGGAACAGAAAATTACAGCTCCCACATCTTTAGCAGGATCCTGGACAACTTTAATTCAGAGTTTGAGTTCAGGTTTGAGAGTGACAGTTCCAACTTTATTAGCATTACAACTCGATAGCAACCACTAAGTAGCCATGCTGTGTGATTTTATCCACTCTTTGATGGCTAAAGCCAGAACATCTTTAGTTGAAATTTTCATAGTGAGCTAACAACTTCAATAAACTTTGTGTTGTTTTTACTTCGATATTGAAAGCAAGTAGCTAGTATAGGTAACATTAGCTAGTAGCAAGCTCTAGCAACTAGTAACTAGCAACTAAACACGATCTAGCTTATTTACACAGAGGCTCATTTTATTTTCTTGTCTGTGTCTATTTCGACATGTTCCTTCTGTGTGAGCCATTGCTGTGCCTCACTATAAACAAGCAAATCGAGGCAGAGCTCATGAAATTATTCATGAGCCCACCAAAAAAGAGGGAAGCAGCTTGTATCATTCTAGGGCCAAATCACAGGGTCGTAAATGGGCATGTAAAGCCATATCTAGGCATTTTTCACCCTAACCAAAGTCACATACCCTTATCAGAGAATAATTTAAAATACTGAAAAAATTAACTCTATGCCTCCTTTAAAGACTTAGGACCACAGATCCATGTGAAGAGCCATTTAGGAACTTTTCAAGAGTGTTAGTATCAAAAAGATACCAAATATATTGCTTCTAGAGTTTCTGACTTCTAATCATGTATGTGCAGTGATCTGTACACCTCACAGTTATTCACATTGTTTGCTGGCCTCAAACAGACATAATCTGGAATCACTCAAGAATGAATCTACAGCCATAAAGCATGGCGCTTCTTAACAGCAGAATGAAACATTTCAAATGAGATGTTTATCGAGTACTTGATTTGATTACACACATTCATTAGAATTTATACAGTGAAATGACTCATGGCTCTGTACTCATTTTTGTCTTTATGAACAGTTTCTGGTAATGAAAATTCATTCGAAATAGCAAGTAGATCTATTGCATCAATTGGAGTCAATCACATTTTGCATTATTAACTAGATTAGATGTTCTACAAATGTACTGCAAAGCAAATCTATGTTTTATACAGTTTTATAGAAGCATGCGAGAAAAACAGATACATACAGCTGCCGTGGAAGTCAAGTCTCGTCATAATTGTGGAGGCCATGATCATGACAGGCAGACCAATAGCTGACGACAGGATCCAATTGCAGACGTTTACAATCTTGGCATTGCGGGGGGTCCTGAAGTCCAAAGCTTTAACCGGGTGGCACACGGCGATGTAGCGGTCAACACTCATAGTGGTCAGAGTAAAGATACTCGTAAACATGTTGTAATAATCAATGGACATCACAATCTTGCACAACATATCTCCAAAAGGCCAGGTGCCCATCAGGTAGTTCACACTTTGGAATGGTAGAGTACTTGTGGCCAAGGCGTCTGCCAGTGCAAGGTTGAAGATGTAGATGTTGGTTGCAGTTTTCATTTTTGTGTATCTGTATGGATGAAAGCAGAGAGGGCAGAGGCACTGCATTAATATTAACAGATCCAATAGTAATAATTATTTTATGTTGAACTTTTAAATTCTTAGAATGCAGGGGGAAACAAAACCTCATATCTGCAAAACGTTATCATGTTTAGTTCTCTAGGAACTAAAAATACATGTCTGTAAACATCATGCATGTTGTACTATGTAAGCAATACTCATATCATTGGTTAGAAATGAAAGGAAACAAAAATCTTGAAATGTCAAATGGAAAATTATCCAATAATGTTTTATTCTCTGTAGTATCTAGGAGGATGCAGCCAAGTAAGCTCTCCCATTGGTCAGGACTTTAGAAGCTGAACTCCTGAAGCCTAATGTATGAGATACAGCCCCAGCATGATCAAGAACTGACAGTGGAATCAACCAATCATGCTTTGATTTACAATGAGTTGGACCAATTTTGTGACAAAAAAACAGCTTCTGTCTAGTCCTACATACATCACTGTAACTGACTGCGACAGCAGCACCATGTTAGGGCTCTTTACTGAAGGAGTCACTCTAAAATGCATAAAGTACAATAAATGCTTATAAACATATATAATAAACCATAACAAATAAACCATAAGACGTCTTTAACAGGCTTAAAATATCCATGTTCAACCTAGAATGGTTTACAAATGCTCATGAGCTTGCACCTTTTAAAAAGATGGCTCTTCAAGACTTCTTTAGTAAAGGCAGTGGTTCTATATAAAACCATGAGTTCTATATAAAATCATTTCATGATTTTGTGTTGTATATGTGTTGTATATGGTTCTATATAGAACCTTTTTTAAAGTAGTTCTATATGGCACCAAAAAGTGTTCTTCTATTATTACCAACTTGACACTGTAACAATAGCCGAACCCTTTTTCTGGTGCTATGTAGAACCATTTAAGCATGAAATAGTTCTATAAAGAACTTATGATTCTGAACAAACCATTCCCTTTAATAAAAACCTCTTAAAGAACCATCTTTTTAAGAGTGTAGCACTAGCACAGTACTAGAAATCCAACAGTGGTGCCACTGAACAGTAAGCTGAACATTATGAAAACTAGAAAATAATACTTTTAAACATGTTAGTAAACATAATGAACCAAAACACAGAAACATTTGCCCCAAAAGCTGCATTATAGACTTTCTCAAGATAATGTTAAAACAGATGGATTGTGACACTACATATTAGACTTTAATGCTTTGTCTTATATCTTGTTTAGACCATTACTGTTATCCAGAGTGCCATTTACAACTCTATCAAGTTGAAGCTATCTTTTGTTAAATGACAAAACAACTAATTTAAATCAGTTCATCTATGGGGGCTGTTAAGAGCCAGTTTTAGCCTTGACTAAAATGGATTTTTCAATGATGAATAAACATTAGAAAACAAGCCAAGATTAGACTTAAGAGTCTGCGTCCCAGAAATGTGAAGCTGCTACAATGATCAGACACCCAACACATACTAACAGCCACTGTCTTATAGTGAGGCAGAGATCAAAGCAGTCACTGCAATGTGCACTTGAACTTGAAACTATTGGGGCCTCACCACATCTCAGCAGTTGTTTGCCCTGCAGCACTACTGATCACTTCACCCCGTGAATTAAACTGACCATCTGTTACTTGTTGGTGTATTTCCATATCATGCTCGTCTTTTACAGCACGGATATTGTGCAGCAGTGATCGGCGAGCCTGAATGCAAATATGTTCTGTTCCCTCAGAAGGTTAGGCTTCATTGGTCATCCTGGCAATGTGATTGTTTTTATTATTCAAACAGCTGTTTGTAAGCCAACATCCTGCACTGCTGTAGACAGTCATTTCAGGTTTTGTCAGGTCGGTCATTTTGTTAGTTTTACTTTTCTGCTTTTGCTTCTTTCTTGTCTAAATAATATATTTGGCTAATTGACTGGCTCTGCACAACCTTAACTGGCATTAAGGCAGAGTTTATTTTGTTTTTGTCTTTGGAAAGAGCAAACAGTAAAGGGTACAACAAAGGGAAAAAGTCTCAGACGTACCACAGGTTCCTGCGGAAACTTACAGCTATCCATCACATACAAAGCAATCTGGAAGTAATTTTTTAACCAAGCACCGGGCATGACAATTTTTTTATGATTATGCAAATCTGTCCAATTACTTTTGGCCTCCTTAAAAGCAGGGACATGTAAAAAATGCTGGAATGCCTATATGGGTCATTCAATATACAGTCGTATACAAAAGTCTGAACATGTGTTTTAAGTGGAAATAACGCATCCTCTACAGGGGACAAACAAAAAAAAAGGTACGAAAATGTCACTGGGGCAGTACCTCTCTTGTCACTGGGGTGGTACCCTCATAGGTTCCCTTTAGTCAGGGAACATAATTGTACCATAATCCATTGAAATTATATTTTCCAAGTTGTATCGACTCCACACACCTCGTCTCGTCTCCAGGCTTCTTATTTTATTGTTCTATTTTAAAACATTAGGTTCTGAAAAGGTACAAATATATTCTTTTCCACTAGGAAATCGTATCTACAGTACACAATTGGACCTTAAGACCACTGTTGTACTGCTAAGTGTAACATTAAAAAATATAACCAGAAAATATAACAGGTGCCATAACTTTTGCACAAGTCACTTTTTATGTTTTTTTTGTTTTCAATATGTTAAATGCAGCAAATAAACAGTAACTGTGCATTAAAATGTGCACAAGTGTGTCCTCTGCAGAGTGTATGTTAACTCTGCAGTTAACTTTGGGGGCACCCAAACTTTTGCACACGACTCTAGATGAAAGTACCCTAAAACTAAAGCTTGGTCAACCTTTCATTTCAAAATAATGTGCTGGAATACAGAGCCAAAACAATAAAAATCACTGCCCAGTTACTTACGGTCACTGCACTGTATCTGAAGTAAAAATAAAAAAGAGCTGAATAACCAAAAACAACATGAAATTTGAGTACAAAGAAAAACATTTTTAGTATGAAGGTTACTGGTTAGCTCCACTCTGGCTGAATCTCAGTACGCTGCTGTGCCATATGTAAGCTGATGAATGATGAAGGTTTTCCATAGTCTAATGATTTTTCAGTAGTGCAAGAAAGTAGTTCAAAAAAAGGCACATTTAAAAGAAGAGAGCTAACATTACTGGGAAAGGTGGTTATCCTGAGGCAGTAGTAGTTCACACAATATTGCCTCGGCATTTCTCAAGGCGGTCAAAGATTCATTTCATCTCCCTGCCTTGCATAACTGCAGTCATAATTCAAAACCTGCTATAGCAAATCACCTCGTTCCTCAGGCCTCAGAGAAGTGGACAGATGAGTACGAGAACACTTGCCTGCCTTCAAGTAAATGTAGATAATCAGTGAAGTCTTTAAAGTAATTTGATAGTATAGAGATCACAGCCAGCAAAAAAACCTGAGGCATGGAATAGCGGTCGCTTTAACGGGAGATATTCCGTTATGCACAGACAGGCATAGAAATAACCGTCACTTTATATCTGATTCAGTCACTTTCACTGTGTCACCAAAATTCGCCTCCCTCATTTCAGCTAATGACGAGCTAATTTTAATAAGCAGGCATGTAACAGAGGTAAAGTATGCTTGTCCCTCAGCCATTCACTCCACCATATTTCAGTGCCTTTATAATTTATTGAGAGTGGCATCCACTGTGTATTTCAAATGGGAAAACCTTTGAATTTTAAATGAAAGGAAATGATTATGCATAAATTCTTCTTCATCTAAAAGACTTCCCATAATAAAGAGAGTTAGACGACGCTTTCAAAGAGCAGTTATGTCCAGACAACTAAAATGAGATTTTAAGTGGACTCCAGTGTCCATCACAATTGACACTTCATGAGTATAATGCATAATTCATAAGAATGCCTCATTCCTATGCAGGATAATCATTTGCTGTCTGTCTGTATTGTCAATCTGAAAGCTTTTCATGCTAATGAGGGATTTTCAAAAGAAGACTGTCAACTGCGTAAAATGCATTTCAATTCACGTGCAGTTAACACAATGCCGAGTTAAGATGACCGATAAATTGCTTATTAAAAAGGGAGTCAGACAGTTACGAACAGAATGCATATTTTTATGACCATTTTTTAGGAATGCTAAACTGCTAGACTTCATCTTTGAAAGCTTGATGCAAAAAAGATACTTTATCCTCTGTTTTTTTTCCATTTGTTTCCTGGCAAAACAGCCAAAAAGGATAATAATCCTGAGCCATCTGTACCATGATCATACAAAACACCTAATTTATTGTAATTGCTACAGAGATTATGACAGATTAAGAGGCATTTTCACTGCATAAACTATTACTGTGAAAAAGGAGACTGGATTGCAACTGCTCTATTTTGACTCGAACACATAAGCGGAGATAAAGAATAACCTCTAGCTCCTCCAGACACACCAACTGGATGTAAACAGAGATTTGTCTGGTGTGTGTTTCAAGTATAACAATGTCTGCAGATGCATGCGTAATGCCTGATGAATGAGGCTATATTGTTTAGGTTGCTGTCACTAAAGAAGTAATGCAGAAAGACACTGAGCCTCTGAGCACACGCAGGTTTTACCAAATGCCTGAAGGTCACTGACCCACAGCAAGTTAGATGCAGAAGTAGCTGCAGATTCCATTTGCTAAGATGTAATCTGTGTGGGCTTGCTGGCCACTTGAATCCCAATGGGCCACTATACAGTCAAGAACGTGCTGAGATTGAGTGCTCGTTCATCCAATTCAGAAATGGAGAGGGTGGATTAACTCCTTGATGAATTGGGGTCCTTGAAAGAGCAAGATACAACACCTTTGATTTCTGTAAAAGTGCTGAAATGTCTTCAATGCCATTCCATTATTTCCACTCATAGGACCGTTAGACTACACTGTTTACTCCAGTCCAGCAGCAGGGGTCCCAGGAAAAACTGCACTTTACTAGTTATAGTATGTTTTGTCAATGACAGTAAAAATCTGTAAAATTAAAGTCTTTTCATTTCTTAGAAATACTGCCTTT